ACCTCAGACACCACAGAAGCTACCTCTAACTGTTCTCTCCCATGTTCCAGAACTCTGATCCCTCTATTTGAAAAGCACCCTGCTCCACTATACATAATAAGCCCTTTGCTTGCATCATGGCCTCCAGTCTCTCATACCCTCCAGCCACACCCTGGCTTCACTGGAAGCTTACCAAACTGGACACGATGGCTAGCCATTGCAACCATACTTTCATCTCACCTTCATGTTTTTCAATCCCCATACAGTGCCCTATACATAAGGGTTGCCAAACATTGGCCAATTTGAATAAACAAATGGGGCATAAGTATACAAATATACAAAAGATGTATACTGACAAAATTTGAACCCACCATTCATATGATTCACTGTACTTTTACTCTATTTCTCTTATCACTAAAAAAAAATTACCTTGATAATCTAGTCGAATCCTGAATAATTCATTTGCAACCTTTATCATTCACAGCATCTACCTAATTATCTAAGCCAGAAACCTCAGAATCAACTTGGATCTGTCTCTCCCCATATCCAATAGATCCACTTCTTCAGACTGACGACATGTCCATAATCTCTCTCAAACCAGCCCACTTCCTTTTCATTTCCATGGCCACTACCCTGCTTGGCAGACTTCTTGCCAGCACCACTGCAATGTCCTCCCCTAACCAGGCTCGACCTCTACAGTGTGCAGCAGCCAAAACACAATCTGCTCCTCTCATTCCCCTGCTCCTGTTCCTAAGATCTTTCAGTGCCCTCAGGATAACTTTTAAATTCCTTGACACAGAAGGAATGCCCTCAGAATAATCTTCAAATTCCTTGACCAAAAGATCCTTCATAATCCGGCCCCTACTCATCTCTCACACTTCCCCTCTCTCAGTTCACAATCACCAACTCGGCCATGCTGACTTATTTGCAAAGTCCCTGGATTCACGATTTCTGGCCCCTGCATAAATGCTTTCCTAAGCAACTCTCTCTTTCCCACCCACTTCACATGGCTAACTCCCACTCCTCCTTCAGATCTTAGCTAAAGTGTTACCTGCTCTGAGTAAAAAGGGAAGAAACCTCAAAACCATTTCCTAAGTACTCATATAGCACTTCATCTATCAGGGTACAAGCTACACAGAATTACCCGTTTCTCTACTTTTCCGGAGACCTGCTGAAGAAGAGCTAATGTCTTCACAATTCTAACCCTTCTCAGCAGTGCCTGATGCACAATAGGTACTCAATAAATATTTGTTAGTTGAACAATTAAATGAGTGAATGACAGATATGTCTCAGGTTTTTTTTTTTTTAAGCAAACATGATGATTCTAATATTGTTGTGAAGTACCCACTTTAAAAGCGTATACCCTTAAGAATTACATACTGTTGAAGTTTCTAGTTCAACGTTATTTTTTAAAGGGAGTAAAAGAACTGAAAACATTTAAGAACTGTTTGGAGAAACATTATAACATCAAAAATGAAAACTAAAGATTTCCTTAATATAAAACAACATTTAACCAAAATGCCACACTCACCTCTGTAAGCAATATTGCCAACATATCTTGCCTCTGGAAACGTATGGCCAAGTGTACAAGAGTGTAGCCAACATCAAAGGCAGAAGGACGGTTCAGCAAGCGTACTTCATCTGCAGTGAGTTGACGTGCAATATCTCCTCCTGATGACTTGTATGCTTCTATGGCAGCTAAATCACCTTCTACAACCCCTAAAACAAGCATCAAGACAGAAAAGCATTTAATTTTTTTTTTTTTTTCAAAAAGCACAAACCTGTAGCATTCACTCCAAACTCTTTAAGTATTTCTCTGTGCTTCCTGGATCCTGAGGCATCATTTAAATGTCCTAAAGAATATAAGGAAAATTAGTTTATTCCCTTCCCTTTTAAAAATTTCTTTCCAGAAGTAGAACTGCCTACTTAGACACCTACCTTACATCAGTGCTGGCTCCATGCTCTGGTGGGGGGGATTTAGAAGAACTATTAGACCATATTAATTGGATCAAAGATCAGTAACTTAGTATGAGAAATCAGACTTCATGGAAGACATCAAGCCCCTGTTCT